TGCTTTTGCTGGAAAAACTTTTGGTTGGTTTGAAATGAATAGTGCCCATTTCCTTGGATTAGAATCATAATATAAAGAACTTTCGGTTGGTTTCGGGAAAAACATGCCCTTTTTTCCCTTCGTAGTGGAAGTAATTCGGTTTTGCTTGATCGTGTTGCCGCATCCGCCAGGACCTTGCAGATTTGCAGTTTATCCAATCGTTACTGGTAAATAAAATTTACCACCACACTGTGTTGATGTTCAACCTGTATTTTTAAATGACAAAGTTCTCACCAGTTGGTGAAATTGTACGCAAAAAAGATAGAAATGGCGTCGCCTATACTCAAACTGGATACCTTTAGTGTGTTAAACTGAAATGATAATCAACTATACCATGCAAGACAAAATCAAAATTAAATATTGATATGAGCCGAAATATTATACTATTTAAAAAAATATAAAAACTTATTAGGTATTTAAACTCGAAATTCAGCATGAACAAGCGACCTTAGTGATTAAGGGGATTATTGTTATCCTTGATATCTCGAGTTCAAACACTGCATATGTAGAAGTATGAGTGTTCATTGTCAAATAGTTGAAAGTCTTTAAACATATACTACTTTGTATTTACCTTAAATTTATAATAAAAAACTCAAAATTTACAAGACAACTTCTAATTTATCTAATATTTAAACTTACAATGATCTAAATTGTAATTAGACTAAAAATTTGAAAATACGTATTTATCATTATTTAATTCGACCACTACTTAATTAAATATTTAATAAATTTAGATATTTATTTTTATATAAACTAAAATTATATTAAAATAAAATTATATCAAATATATAAATTTTAACTAGTCTGATGCCTAAGGGAGATATGTCCATGATACCATGACACCACAACTCTGCTGAACTGTATTTTTACAATTGGGTAGGTTAATAGTTACCGACTTTCAAGTTTCAAGTCAAAAATGAAAGAAAAAAAGAAACAGATGGCATGGCGTCGCCAACACTCAAACCGGAGACCTCTAGCGTGTTAGATTGATGTGATAACCAACTACTCCACAACACCACAATGCTATAAGCTGTTTTTTTACAGGTACTTAGGTTAATAGTTATGGACTTTCAAGTCAAAAATGAAAAAAAGGGAAACAGATGGCGTCGCCCGGAATTGAACCGGAGACTTTCAGTGTGTTAGACTGACGTGATAACCAACTACACCACACACCACTTTAAAATTAAATACACTTTTACTTAAATAAAAAATAACATAAATACATGTTAATAACCGACTTAACCCTTCGCTCGCTGCTTTTTTTCTCTGCCTTTGGATACAAATCGCTTATTTGTGTTTCTCTAGTTCTCTTTGGCGGAACCCTACCTCTGCTCCTTCTATCTCTCTGTCCCTCTGTACTTATCTTTCCAGAGTTCTTCTTTTCTTCTTTGTTCAAACTTAGAAAATATTTTAAAACATGTCAGGTGCTTTAGAGATGTCACTAGACGACCTCATCAAGCGTAACCGTTAGTCCGGATCCGGTAATCCCCGCGGTCGAGGCCGTGGATCCGGAGCTGGACCCGTCCGTCGCTTTTCTAACCGCGGAGCTATCCGCTCGGCACCGTATACCACCGCTATGGTACATAGCTAGGGATTTAGATCTGATTATGCTTCTTTTTGTGTTTTTTGTTTCTTAATTTCGTTTTGATTCATTTTTTTATCAACTGAGTTAGTTTAATTTTGTTCAGGCGCCGGATACGACGTAGCAGCATGATATGTATACAGACAAGGGAGCGGCGTTCCAAAGACAGGCCGGTCCCTCCGCAATAGAAACTGGAACGAAGCTCTACATCTCTAATTTAGATTATGGAGTTTCTAACGACGACATCAAAGTAAATTTTTATAATTGTGTTCTGCTATGTTCTTCTTTAGTATTTAATGCTTTATTTCTCTTTTGTTTCGATTTGTTATTACGTTACCCGCGATATTGATTTAAATTTTATTTATCCGTAAAATATAATTTAAATTTAAAATTTTCATGTATTTGAATAAAGTCTAGCTATACGTTGCAACACTTTCATTTTTTTCCCGATCGATATTGTGTTGTTGTTAGTTTTTTTTTCTGGAGATTGTCTAATGTTTGTGTTCATATATAGGAGTTATTTTCTGAGGTTGGTGACCTGAAACGAAATGCAATTCATTATGATTGGACCGGTAGATCAAAGGTATCTGATCAAATTTGGTATTGACTGTTCCTTACGTTGAAATTATTTGCATCACAATGTAATTTAGAAAAAAAACCCCTCTTTCCAGGGAACAGCAGAAGTTTTCTTCTCACGGAAAGCTGATGCTATGGCTGCGGTCAAGAGATACAACAATGTTCAGCTTGATGGGAAGCCAATGAAAATTGAGATTGTGGGAACGAACATTGCTACCCCTGCTGCACCTATAGCTGTTAATGTTGCTTTTGGAAGTTCAAATGGAGCCCCTAGGGGGTATGAATTTTTTATAATTTGCATGAACCTTTGATTATTCTTTATTTTAGATTCTGTCAATTCTTATGCAGGTTCTTGAGATGTTACATGTTGCTAAAAAAATTGCCTATACTTTCAGTTATATTGGGTTCTTAATTTGGGTAGAAGTTTCATCTTAAGCATCTATTTATTTAAAAATTCTTGTTTTTGATTAACAATATTGTGATAGCTAGAGAGAATTCATGGTTCTACTTCATGTTTCATGCAACAATTCATATTTGTTACTGTCTATTAGCTTTCACTGTATGGTGAATTGGGTACCAAATCAACATTTTTGTTAGTGAATTTGTGTGTAATATTTGCTCCATTTCGTTTGTTCATGCTATGAATAAACCGTTTTTTGTTATTGATCGATTTAAGTAACTTATCTAATCTTGCTGTTGTTATTTACAGTGGCCGTGGCAGGGGTGGAGGATTTCGTAGGCAACGAGGTGTTGGTGGAGGCCGTGGCTTTGGAAGAGGCCGCGGACGGGGAAGGGGCCATGGAGAAAAGGTCTCTGCAGAAGATCTTGATGCCGATCTAGAGAAGTATCATACTGAAGCAATGCAGACAAATTGAAGCAATGATCATGTTCGTTTGGTTGGCTTCAAGTCTTCTCTACTATGGACATTATGCGCTTGATGCTAACCTATTTTCTGTATCTCTACCAAAATCACTCTTTAGAGGAACTAGTTACGGAGAGAACTATTAGTGTCTTGAGTTTTATGGAGTTTGGGCTTTTACTGTTGATTGTTCCTTTGACTTGGGTATAAAGAATGTGGATTAGTGGAAAGCTATCATTCTGTAATCTGCAATTATGCTTTTGGTTCCATTGAAATTGACACATCCCACAAGTCAGGAATGAAAGAACTTTTTCTCTCGGTTTTCCATATTCAAAGGAAACTTTGGCCGCATCCTGTGGGAGGAGCAATCTCGCCGTTGCCCAAAGCTTTGCATTGTCTTTTGGTTGCTCCTGTATTTTGAACTAGGGAGACTGCAATGAAGGTAGGTTTCTTTTATGTTCCCTATTTTTCATTTTTCAAAATCTGTCCTTTTGAATTATTCGTGATGCAGTTGCTTTTCTTATTTAGACTTCACCCTATATATTGGTGCCAAGGGATATTATCCTTTCCCCTTTATCTATGACTTCTCATCATGTCACTTATCGTAGTCAATCATTGTTGAATCTCTCTACTTCAGTTCAACCAGTTGGTTTCTTGGTGGAGAAACGCTGTTGACGGCTTTTGCATGTAGGGCTTGTTATCAAGTTGAAATGATAAATTGAAGTATGTTGAAGTACACTAAGATTCTGAAGTTTTTCATTCAGTCTCTATAGCAAGTAAATGAAGTCTCACTCCTGGGGCATAGTGTATGGAGGTCAAGTAGTTTGGAATGGGTGTTAGAAAAATATACTTTATGAAGAGCTAAGACTTAAATGGTGGGGATTTGCATGACCTTTTTTGTCAGACTGTGAGCTGCCATGCTTATTGTTTAGAGGCAAAAGGCTTTAATTCAACAGGAAGGATCACAACTTCCCCTGAATCAAGTTAAGCAAATTGAAGGTGAACAATGCTTACATGGTTCTTCTTATAGTTGACATACCCCTTTGAGTTATTACAATGGAACTTAGCTCCAACCTTTGGACCATGAACTTGGTGAGTGCTTGACAAATTTGCTTAATTCTTGGACCTATCAGTCTCATTTTGTTCTTGATTGATATCTCTTTATGAATTCTAGCCATTTTAGTTTTATACGGGCTAGGAAGCACTTTGTTACCATCTCAAGGAATGTTCTTAACTCACTGAGTTGTTTTAAGAAATTGACTTCCTTCTGTTACAATTTTAGTTTTATTATATTCTTTATGTTCTATGTATTTCTTCCGAATATGGATAAATATATACTCGGTTATAACTTTTATTAATAGAAATAAATTTCGAAATTTGTCCTGATATGGAATTCGATCTAGTCTTTACAAATATAAATCTATTGAGGTTACCGCTCCCGTTGTGTTGGTTTTTGAGCGACTGATACATCTGGCAGCTAAAACTGAACTCGGTTCCTCGATGTTATTAAGAGAAAACTATTAAATGTTCTTATATTCACAGAAACATCAAAATAATTAAATGATAATTACGCCTGTTTATAAACAACAAAATTTGTATCAGATGGCTTCAACTAGACCTAGCAAAGGTCCTCCTATTGTCTTGCTTTTCTGAGCATTAGTTTAGAGGGCTGAGGTTCCAACAAGAGGTGATCCTTCCTACTTGACCCTATGCTAAAGGGCTTAACATTTAAATCGTAAGCTTAACGCCCAAGGCAATGACCTGCCCATAAATTTCAGTTAAACTACAACTCTTTAGAAAACAACCCTTCAAATCAACATTCGAAATGTTCTTATAAATAATACAACAAAATCGTGTGACGCTTCAACTCTGGGTTGAAAATTCAGAACTCAAACCACCTTTTTCAAAGTTCATGGAAATTCAGTTGTTTAAAACAAAAATTAACCAATCTAAAAGCATATGTAGTCATTGCAACAACAAAAAATACATGAGGACCAGGACTCTTGCCCCTTGTCTAAAAGGGGCAAAGAAAGAAAATTAAGAAAAATAGAATTAAGAGAAACCTATACTTAACACATGTAATCATACAACCTAAAGTTTTGCGCAAAGTACTGAACCCATATTTGAAAATGTATTAAGCCGACTTATGCTCTCTAGGTTTCCCCCACCTAGAATAGATCAATCCCAACAAAGAATAGAAAACAGCCTTTACGCAAGACACTATAAAGTTCCAACAAGATGACGGCCAATACCAGGGATATAACAGTCTAAAGAACAAACTTATTAGATGTCGAGGGTAACGTCCTACCTGCAAAATAACAACAACAATTAGTATATGCCCCAAAACAGTTAAGTATTTTTGTACCAATGACGCTTATCATTGACATACCCAGGACGGCAAAATAAATGAACCAGTCAAGCTCTAACCTGAATTGATTCTATAAGGCAGATTTTCCCTTTGAGAATCAGGGGCAAATGTGGAGGCGGAGTGAGTTTTCAATTTAAAAAATTGAATTCAAGTAAGGTTAAATCTTGTGAAATTGAATATAGTATAAAAATATATATAATATTTTGGGACGGGTCAAGTTGGAGTTTGGAGCTTCTCTTATCGAGGTTCGGTTCTGAAGCTGAAATTTTAAACAAAATTGAATCCAGGATAAGAGGCGTAAAAATTGAGTAGGGGCTGAGGCGACAAAGAAACCACCCTGCCCCCATTTCCCTTGCCATCCCTAGACTTGCTAGGTAAGCAGACGACTAACCAAAATTCAGAAGACCATATTCCCAATAGAAGTATCTTTACTTGTATGAGTCCATTCTAAGATTCTACATGCAGCAACTTAGATGCAAGTGATTGGCTACTTATGTGGAAGAATTTTCAACTTGGAAATTCGTTAAGAGCATTTATGGGCTTGTTAGTCTTGACTCAAATATAAGGTCTAATTACAGTTTATTTATGTCTCGCGAAGGTCGTTCATCGAATTCCTAACAAACACTATTTCAAAAACGAAAATCAATGCTCAGTTTGTTTTCTTTTGGAAAGACTAGTCACTGTAAAGAGCAGTTCAAAAGGGTACTCACGGGAAAAAGGAAATCTAAAGCATCCCAAGCTGCATGACGGACAGCCCTTGTAGGATACATCGGACCACCAGGTGAAGTAAAGCTATACAGACAGGTTTTCAGCCTTGTACTCGTAGCCATTCTCAGTTCCATGCCTGCAGGAATTAAAAATTAAGGTCATATTTGAGTAGTCAAATACCCCATAATCTTAGAAGAAGTTGATGGTAATAACTCATACCTCGGAGAACCTTAATCTGCGAAAGATAATGCAATAGGACTGGCTCCACCTTTAATTTTTGAAGCTGGCAAAAGAAAATTTTCTGAAATGTGAATATGTTGGTCATTGCAAAGGCTTTCAATTAAGGTGGTAATGTTAAAGAATATCATTAAACGTATACCATCTAACCATGGAAATCTGAAGTTACCTGGTCAGTTAGTTCAATAACAAGTATATCAGCTGGTCCACCAACCAGGAAAGCATTTGGAAAAGCAGGACATTGCTTAACAAAGCTTTCAATTTTGTCGACTGCATAGAATAACATGTCATAAAAGGAACATCCCTACATGCAAATTATATTTCAAGATCAAGGTTCCAAAGGGGGGAGAACCCAACCTGAGTTGTAAAAGAATATGAACCTTGAAAGTAAAAGGTATAGATCTCGCTGGGCCTGAAAGTCACATATTGCAGAATCAGTTCTAGAAGATGATTGCCACTAAGGAATCTTGATGAGAAAACGGAAACTATTCAACAATCCAGAACTTGGCATTATCTTCTTTCAGATATACCAAAACAAGATATAAAACAAAAATACTTTACCTGTACTGGAATTTTATTTAACCGTGTTGACTCCAATGCAACTTCATCAAGGAGGTACTAAGTCCATAGAAGATAAGAAGTGTTGATAGATGGATTCTCCAAAATAAAATGAAACAAGCACTTCAAAGAGTTAATGTTTCTTTTAGGTTTTACCTGAAAGAGAGATTGGAAACACCTAGTATTGGCTTGTATATCCATCCTGCATACAAGCACAAAATGTTGAAACATTAGCAGGGTGTAAGTGATTCCACTTTTACAACAAACATGACCATCATAACGGTAATATGTCCATCCAACTTTTTATGGTATTGGCATTTGGAAACATAACAAAAATCACACTCAAGCATTACCAATTTGCATTCATACCAGAAAACATTTGTTGCACCCTGAACAAGCGCGGAGGAATAACGTAGTTGTACGTCTGGATTATCCAGTTGAACTTCAAATAACTGCAGAAAAGGTATATTGTTCAATGTTAAAGGACTTCATCAAAAAACCATTCAGTGATTAATACAACATTTGTTCTGTCAATATGTTAATATATTTTAATTACTAGTAGAAGCAAAAAGGATTACTACCTATCACTAGTAGACATGCTATATACAAAAATGTCAATAATTAGATCTTTTGTGGTAATTTTGAGCCAAAAAACTCATAACACATGGACTTCAGTATTTGGAATACATCAAAACCCCAATGGTAATTATAAACTGTAAGCAGGAACGATGTATTGAAAAGCAGTAAGAACTACACTATAATGAAGATTCTTCAGGCAAAAATAAATGCCTTTAGGCAACTTGTCACATCTCTATTTTGCTTTGTTACTTTATCCAGTTAGGAAAATTCCAAATTATACCTGGCCTAGCCACCGACCATCTACAAATTGATAGCACCAAAAATAAGCAGCAGCAAAAGCTAAACAACTTATATACCCATTAAACTACCATTATAAAAGCAGAATGGTCTCCATTCTCCAAGAAAGCAAGAAATATGAGTTCCATTGACTGATCAATCGGATTCAAATTCCGGAAAGCTAAGTTGAATTCCATATATTTTTTTGCAATTACAAATTTGGGGGAAGGGAGTGGGTGACACAAGAATCGAATCCTAGTCTATGATGGCACGAACAATTTTTATCCAGAGAAAAACTCCTAAAGAATGAATTACTACTGCTGCAAGCAAAGAAGTTCAAAACAGTAATCCCATGATGAAACGCAAAAAAGAAATCATGAGCTTACTTACCCATTTATGGAATAAAAGGGCGAAAATGTGAGATGCAAATGACTGGCTCCATAGTTGCATAATCAAATCAAGGATTGGCTTTCTGCTCTCAGGCACTCTAGTATAATAATCCGCAAGGACATCGTAAAAGCATAATCGACCAGCAGGAGATATTGCATCTTCTTCTCTACTTAGAATTATATCTGTTTTAAATATCCATAGAAAACAAACATGAGGAGAAATCTTAAAAAACATACAATACTAAAAATTAAATTTTCATATGATGAAAAATTACGGAAGTTCGATCCCCAAATCTATTAAAAAGGCACGCGAATTTGAAAATTAACTATTTGGTTAGTGATTATCAATATGAAAAGGCAAAAAAAAGTAGAATGATCTTAGCTAACCTTTGGCTCGATCATCGACTTCCAAGGCTATATCGGCGAATAGTTCTTGTAATAAGTTGCGTCTCTGAGATGGAGACGCTAATGCCTGCAAAAATTTGAAGATCAAGAAACTCTTAAACGCAGTACTTTTGATCAACCAGAAAAAAAAAGATATAAGACTTTCCAGAGTTCAGAGGCTAGCAAATACTCAAATTATTACAAAAAATGTTAACATTAAACCTAATATATGTTCTCTTTTTTTAAGAAAATAGATTTGGAAAGGAAAATTAGAAAATCTAATCTAAATTCTGCTTTTCCTTCCATTTTATCGAAAAGACGAGAGAAAAAACAGAAAACGAACCCGCAGAAGCTTTTTCTCAATTTCTAGGGAGAGCGCGTTGAGATAAGCGGAGCTTTGAGACCTTGAAGAAGCTTCCTTTTGCTGCATTATTCTAATGTTAAGATCTCAACAGGATAAGAAGAAAACTAAAATCTATCATCCGAGAGAGAGGTATTTGAATTCGATCCAATGGAAGAACAACGAAGAAACTGGAAAGAGGTTTTTCGTATCTGGTATTTTCTTCAATAATTGAAGGCAGTAGCCGTTTTTGGACCAATTACTGAATTAAGTATTGAAAGCAAGGCGGCGAATATAATAACATGTAAAATATAATTAAATTAAATTAATGGCGGAATGTGGAAGCCAAAGTAGGAGCTCTGTTAAGAGGAAATCAAAAGGAGATGATGATGGAGACTTAATGATAAGCACTTTGATGTCGTGCAGCCGCTGCGGTTACGTTTTAACGTTGCCCACGTGTCTGTTTTCATTCTGTGACATTTTTCCATCTCTCATGGATATGGAACAAGATGCATCAATTATATGGTCGCCCGTCAATGGATGGAAATTGCAAAACAGTCGATTTTTAACACAATAGGCCACGTGTAATTCAATTAAACCATGGCGTTTTGATATGCGCAAACTGAAAGTTTCTTGCGTCTATACGCATCTCATTAATTCATTATAGCTGCAAGTGTATTTCGATTTCTTTACGCACACAAAATATATTTTAGTCAGAAGAAACTTTAATCTATGATGATCGAGCAGTTGAGTATTTGAGAACATATAGTTGCTTCGGTGCTAGGAGTGAGCTAACCAGGGTACGAAACTCTATCTTATAATTTAATTTCATTTGCAAATCGAAATTATATACTTGATAACATTTCATGTTATAATCCAAAACACCTTCAATATTAGGTTAAAACCAATTTAAAATTTTTGACAATATTTTAGATTATAACTAAAAATTATATCAATTTTAGCTTGAAATGAATAATATTTTAAGTTAATAACTAATAACAAAATATTTTTCGATTATCAACTGAAAATATTAAAAAATTACAAACTTAATAATATTTATGATTGGTTATAAATTAATTAACCTTAAATTAAAGCGATGCGCCTTAGACTAGAAAAATTTTCTTTTACCTCCTTCATCTTTCTACTTTTTCATTAATTCGTAAATTTAATTTTCACTATCATTTTCCTTTTGATAACCTTTTTTTTATCGAATACACTTTAAAAACTCTCTTTTCTACTCGTATCTTCCATCCTTTCATTTTTCTTCCGAACCAAACAAAGTCTAACAGATATCAATGAGTGATCAGAAAATTTTGTCTCTAAATTAACATTTCAACTTTTACAAAAAGATCGTTTTACTTATTTTTTTAACACTTATAACCTTTTTCCCATTTTAAAAGTATGTAAACAAAATACGTAGCACAGTATAATACAAGTACTTATAAAGTCGTTTTACATTTATTTCATCTGCATTGAGGATTGCATTATGGGATACAAAACTCCAATGTTTTATGTTTAATATTACAAAGGTTGATAGGCTTAACTCATAAAGTTAAATACAATCCGGTTTCCCTTCAAATTTACAGTTGAAAACTAAAGCGTGCCATAAAAACACAATAAACGATGGCCATGGGTTAATTTTGTAAACCAAGAACAGAGTGGACGAGTATGCTCTACATTAGATTAGAGAAATTCTTCCCAATATTCTATCCATCTCTACCATAAATAAAGAGCACACACATTTGAACTAACACATGCTCAACAAAGGTTACTAAATGAAGGTTCGTTTGAGAATATAAGTCAGAATGGGAGGCTAAGCGAGTCGGGCCACAGGCAGAGATCATTAATGGTGGGTCTCATAATAAGCCAGGTACAAAGAAGATTGATCGCACTCACCAGCCCATCAGCATTCTTCTAACTCTGTCAACAATCTGATTTCTAGCTGACGTACTTGATAATTGGAATCCACATTTCTCATCCAAAAGAAATCTGTAGACTTCCCATTCACGATCTGAACTCGAATATCTTCCGATTTCAGCCTAAAAGCCGAAAAAAGCAAATGGTTAATGTAAGTTAAAGCAATTGTTTAGCTGCTGCCTAGGACAAAATGATTCAACAATTACATTTGTGGAAATGATTGGGTGAATGAACTATTACTCTTCTTACATAATATCTCTAGCTCAAAACTGCAAACCGCGCACTACCGTAATTGCATTAACAATGAAAACATAAACTAATATGCAATCTATAGATAGGCTTCAAACCACTTTTATTTTAAGAACACTTACAGAGAATATGCAAATTCCAAGAGCCTTCAGAGCTAGTGTAACATCATAGAAAACCCGTGGTCTTCCCTTCCCAGATAACTCAACTGGATTGGCAACCAGAAGTTCTGTATCTGGCCCCCGGTTCGCAATGACAACACGCAATGGGTGAAGCATTTCCACCTTCAAGCGAGAGCATAATCCATTTTGCATCTCAGGGTCCACAAACTTTTTTCCATCCTTTTGCTGAATAAAGAGGTCTAAATCACGATACCCATTGAAATTTGGTGAGAACCGGCCATAAGCTATCTGGAAAAAAAGAGAAACAAATAGCATTAATCAACACGATACCCATTGGAAATTGCCATGTTTTTCAAACATTAACAGTTTTACCTTGATATTGCAGTCTTTCAAAGTTCTCAAGACATCGTAGAAAAGGCCTTTGTGATCAACACAACTTATTTGAAGCAATGTATGAGCTGGGCTCAATGAATTGTCTACAACCACATTAGCTTTCTTCAATCTTGTCATATCAGAACTAAGAGCTTGCAAACGAGTCTCTTTATCAGATAGCTCAAAACGAAATAACTCTTCTGCTACAGCAGGAGAAAGAGATGAGATAGCATGATGGCATTCATACTCTGGTCCTGCCAACTTGAGTTCACAACTGATACATGATTCACCCAACACAGCATCTAATTGTTTATACAAGTCATTTTGTCGTTCTTTGGTGTGTAAAAGCTCCCTGACAATGTTGAAACACAATTGAGATTAATAAGCAAGTTGTTCAATACTTTATTCCATCAGCACTTGGTTGTTATTAATACAATTACCAAATTTCCAAAGAAAACTGGTTCAAAAGTTCAAAGTTGCCCAAATCTACAAATAACAGCACGATCATCAATAGAGCACATACCATGCTATTTTCACTCTTCAATGAAGATATACTCTCAAAAGTCAGAGAACTATAAGTAAAATGTAACAATACAGGTACCAACAACAACAGGTTTTCAGGTTATTTTCCATGACAAGTAAAAGACAGACAGATAGAAAGACAATAAAGACCAAGGTCTTTAGATAGAAAAAATATATATATAAAGAAACAAAGGGGTAAAGAAAAATAAAACATGATAATGAAGACCAAATAAAACCACAAACTGCATGACAAGACAATTATTTTATTTTCATTACAAGTGGACCAGTTGATAATTGATTAATTGCTCCAAAATTATAGACCTTCAGCACAACATTTAAATGCCATAGCCTAAATGCGTCAACATGTCAAACAGTAATAAAGAGCTGAAATTTCTTAAAGAAAAACTCATAAGCTACATAAAACTGCTATTACACTAGCGAATATATCTCAGAAAAAGAAGCAAAAAAGTCTTACATGTTATCGGTTATAAAGAAGAGGTCAAGGACTCTGCCATCTGGGGTTGTTGTAACTTTCACCTTTTGAATTGCAAGCTCAAGCTCAGTGAGAACCTGTGTGACATCTAAAGAAATATCCTAACCACATTAGATTCGACTATTCAAGTAGCACACCAACCTAGAAAGAACACACGCACAATAATTATGGCAGCAAAGGAATTAATCTCAAATGAGCTTTTAGTCAATCTATAAACCACCTTATAAACAAAATAACTAACAAACATAAACGAATCAAAAACACTTTACTTGAAATTGATTCATTTCCGAAATTTCTTCCACCATAATTTGTTTAGAATCCACTTTATTTGAAATTGGTTCATTTCTAAAATTTCTTCCACAATAATCTGTTCAGAATCCAAATCCATTCTCGAGCTATTTGCCAAAGGCTATGCTAATTATACAACCTATCATGAACTAAGGAACATATAATTGGAATCATGATTACCGTGTAGCAATCCTTTCCGATCAAGGCAAAAGAACTTCAAGAAGTAAACTGGAGAAGCCGCAGAGTGCGAAGGTTGATCATTCAAGTAAAATGTCACGGAACAAGAAGGACATAAGGATTGAAGCCGGATCTTCAATCTTGGCCACCTTATAAAAGGTGAGCTCGAATGAGGAACCACCCAAAATATCAAAAAGCACCAAATTCCATCCGTTGAAACATCTACGACCAGAAAACATTGACCGTTAAAGCATAGTTAATCTAGAAAACACTAGATTTCAGCTCATACCAAAGTTCCAGAACAAAACTAGTAAAATAGCATTCATAATTTCGGACAATGCAAACTTAATCACACAAATCCAATAATTTAAAATACGAAAAAGGGATCAAAGAATTCACCTCCTTTGGTGATGTAGAGACCGAAATCAAGGATTATGTGGCAAATATCGCAACCTAGGCCATGCTTATCTGGACAATTAACGGTAATTACATGAGGCTCCCTCGGATTCTTTCCCTTCTGGATCAAAACGGCGTCGTCGCTCGGCACTCCCATACTGGCCGGAACTCGATTCGCAAAGCTAAAGCCTATCTACCGTACTTTTTTCTACTAAAATCGGGTAACCGGTTTATTTGTTCCTTTTTTTTCCTCAGGTTCTGAAGGATAGGGAAGGCAACGAAGTTCGCTGTGATGCTCGTAATAGGAGGGACAGATTGCGCGTCGAAAAAGTGTGGGAGGCTTCAAAGACACGTGGAAGTGCTATGGTGATGGTTAAACGGGATCGTCCGATTGAACAAAAAGAGACTGGCACGGGTCGTTGTACATGTGTCGCATACACGTTTTACCTCTATCGTCTTGCAGTAAAATTGTTACGGTCAAGGAGACTAATTTTCACAAGGAAATTTTTAGAGACGGGTAATTGAAATTAGAAAATCAGCTATATAAAATTCTACTTCTGCGTTGTTAATGGAACGACAATACCCTATCGCCACATTATCAACTAAACACATTTTTTTATTTCATTTTCATTGATAAAGTGAAGAAAAATTAATAACTATATGGTTTATCTATATAATGGCTTGTAAAATAAACGTCGGAATCATAATATAGAAAAACTAATTCATCAGAACAGTAAACACGAACAAAATTAGGTGAATAAACTTTGCTGAACTAAATATGTTGATAATATTAAAAAAAATATCAAATTAACATCAATAACGAACTGATACAATCACGTAAAAGCAGAGATCTATAGCCAAGATCCATGATTCAACAACACAAGCTTAATATTTAAAAAGCTACGTCCATTATTAAGGTTGCTAAATTTAACCCCCAAAACCATAGAGGGTCCTGCCTTGCCTCTTCAAGGCATAAACAACATCCATGGCGGTGACAGTTTCCTTCTTGCGTGCTCAGTGTAGGTCACGGCATCACGAATCACGTTCTCCAAGAAGATCTTTAATACGCCTCTAGTTTCTTCATAGATCAAGCCGCTGATTCTCTTGACTCCACCTCTGCGAGCCAAACGGCGAATCGCAGGCTTTGTAATCCCTGGATGTTGTCTCTTAAAACTTTCCTATGCCTCTTGGCTCCTCCCTTTCCAAGACCCTTACCTCCCTTTCCTCTTCCTGACATTGTATTTGAAAGCTGTGGAAAATCTAGTAAAGTGCGTTAAAATATTAGAATGGCAAACAAGAATGAATCGAAAATGAGATGATAAATAGACTGTGTTGTTATTTATAGATCGAATTGTCGGTGTTTTTGGTTTTTTAAAAAGATTGGCGGGAATTAATCTGAGGCGCACGATTAAAATGTTTATGGGCGGATAGAAGTGTTGATCCGCGTGAAAATAATGAGCAGAATGCGTACCGTTGATACCGTGTTAATCGATGGTTATCAGGAGTACAATGTTTCTGCGCGGACTCTGGGAGATCTGAATTTTGATCTATTTTTTCTCGATATTATCTACCCGTGTTATGTTTTACATATAAACCGTTGATAGGATTTTCATCGACGATTGGGAGTAATTTTGCCACATGTGACGCGGATTTTGCATTTTGGGTGTTTTAGAAATTTAAATTCGGCGGGTTCGAGCTTTCTGAGAGAGCTTTGATTTAATTTTGGCGGATTTCGGGAAAACTAGAGACAAATTCAACGAGAAATTGCTCCAATTTCCGGTTTGGAATTCGGATCTTGAGAAATTGTTTTATCGATTCAATCGATATAATCATTTTTAATTGAAATAATTGAATTTAATTCAATTATAACATTGATATAAATTAATTATATTTCAATTACTCAAAAAATCCAAATATTAATATACATATACTTATATTTGTGTTAAGAATTTTAATGATTTTCGAGGAGAGGGGTGGGCTCGAGTCCTTGATTACGTTAAGAGACTAATTTGGATGGGGCAAGCAGCATGAGTATGAGTGGGACAATCTTTGGGTCTGAGAGGTCAGCTGACACGAATCAACAATTGTGAGCCTGGGTGTTGCAATCTAGTTCGTTTCTTTGAAGGATAGATGTGGTGATGACCTCTGCAGAGGGGGATGATCCGATTGCAAAACAAGAATCGACAAAGAGACAACGTAACACTGTTTCAAACATGGATAGGATTGGAGAGAATAGTGATGGAACCAATAATATATCGATAAGCATGTTGCCCCAGGGCAGCCCAGGCCTGTCGGGAGCAATGAAACTCCTAAGTTGGAATGTTCGAGGTTTAGGGATGTCTTGGACAATTTGATGTCTCAAGGCAGGTGCTGCGAGATGTTAATATCTCAATGGTCTTCTTTACGGAGACGAAAATAGAGAAGGTGATGATGGAGAGAACTAGAAGATCTTGTGGTTATCTTTTTGGTATTGAAGTTGATCCGGTTGGTACTAGAGGTGGTCTTAGTTTGGGGTGGCGTACAACTTGTGAAGCTACTATTCGGTCAATGTCGAGTTCACACATTGACATTTTTTTAGCTTTGATGTGAATGAGGTAATATGGAGGTGTGCTGGCTTTTACGACACTCTTGAAGAGCACCGTCAAATTGACTCTTGGAATCTTTTGCGGTAGTTAAATGATACTCGGATATCCCTTGGCTTATATTCGGTGATTTTAATGAAACAATGAACTCCTACGAGAAAGAATGAGGCTTGATCAGAAGTGAAAGGCAGATGGAGGCTTTTAGAGCGGTGATAGATGAATGTGACCTGTATGATTTGGATTACACTAGAAACCGGTTCATTTGGGAGCGTTGTCGGAGAGCGGAGACTAATATTCGAGATAGACTCGATAGGGAATTGCCAAATGATAGTTGGAAGGTATAGTTTCCTCATTGTTCCATGCAACACCTAATTCACTCATTTTCATATCATTGCCCGTTTTTCCTCGATACAATGGTTGATGCAAAAGTGTCTAAGCAATGGCATTTTCGGTTTGAATCCTCTTGGTTGCTTGAGAATCATGCGAAGAAGAAATTGGGAAACTTTGGGCTGAATCTATGACTAATGTACCAGAAAAGCTAAATTATGTTAGTCATGGGCTTGATGAGTGGTTTAAGAAGATTTGCCACACTAAACAAATTACAACGAAGGACCAACATAAACGGCTGGCTAACTTTGAAGCCCAGCAACCTATTGATGAGATTCTAGGAGAGATGGTTGATACAAAGCTTCATATTAACTTGGAAGCTGATAAAATCGAGCTTTATTAAGAACAAAGAGTGTGGGCTAATTAGTTAAAAAACGATGACAATAATACAACTTTTTTTCACCAATTTCCCTCTCAACGAAAACATCGGAACAAAATTATGTCCCTTGAAATAGATGAAGGGACAATTGTGGACACTGATCAGGGTATTGAGGTCTTGGCGAGAAGCTATATCCAAGATTTGTTCACAACTCTACTATGCCTATTGATGAGAGAATTTTGGACAGTATAGACTTAAGTATCACATATAGTATGAATTGTGCTTTGTTTAAACCTTTTACTTATGAGGATAATACAGTTGTTGTCAGATCAATAAGCACTTTAAAGGCTGCGAGAGAAAATGGTCTTTGTGCCCTATTTTATCAAAGATTCTGACATGTGTTTGTGGTGGAAGTTGCTGATTTATGTATTGAAGTATTGAATGGCTAGCACGATATACAAATTTTCAATCACATGCATATTGCCTTAAACCCAAGGTGGATAAACCATTTAAACTCACCCAATTTCGATCAATCAGTCTCTGTAATATGCTGCACAAAATTGTGTCCAAGATGTTGGTTAATCGGACGCAAAGCCTTCTCGACACCTGTATTGACGAATCGCATAACGCCTTTGTACCAGGTAGATTGATATCAAATAATGTGAATGTGGCTTATCAGTTTATGCATTTTTTCTTGAAGAAACGTGAAGGCAGTAAAGGGTATATTGCTTTAAAGTTGGATATAAAGCTTACGACAGAGTAGAATAAGAGTTTGTTGGGGCAGTCATGAGTATAATGGGTTTCTTTCAACACTAGATATTAAAGTTAAAAGTTGTGTTAGCTCTATCTCGCACTCAGTGATAGTTAATGGGGTGGTTGTTGATAGGTTTACGCCCCAAAGAGGTCTTCGACAGGGAGATCCGATGAGCCCGTACTTGTTTTTATCCTACAACGAAGGGTTATATGCCTTATTGCGCCAAACTAGCTCCAATGGTGATTTTAAAGGTGTGAAGGTAAACCAATACGCTTTAATGATCTCCCATTTATTTTTCGCTGATGACAGCTTAATCTTTGGTGAGGCAACAGCTGCTGTGACGATTCGGGTAAAGGCCTTCTTAGGCTTATATGGCCAAAGCTCTGGTCATGTTATAAATTTTGACAAATCGGGAGTTTTTCCAGCTCAAATGTTATTAATGAGAACATGAGAGATGTCAGGTGTTGCGTGTTGTGAGTACTAATAAATTATACCAAATGTATACACAATCACAATAAGTAATATAATGATAAGTGAGTATCGTCCTCTAGGATTGGTGGAATTTATGAGTTTGACCACGTCACTATACTAATTTATCTAAGTATAGAAATGATATATACGCTAATGATGCTTTGGCACTGGAGATGTGAGGGTGAATGGAATGATGATAAAGGAATGTGATTGTGTCGTGGCAAGAGAACAATTTATAATGAGAAATAATGAAAATGCCAAGGCAATGCAAAATGGTAAAAATAGCAAATAAAAGGAATAGCTTGATAATCCTCACACGGGAAACTACTTCGGGAATGAATGGTGGGGAATCACTTAATGAGCTGAAAACTTATCTATCTAGTTGATTTAGTCTTCTAATGATTTACTTGTTCGACGGAGTTTGCTAAAAGTGTTCACGCTATCTCTAGTCTAAGAACCTAACAGAATAGAATGACACGACATCTCCTTTAAGTCTCAACTGTGGCAGACTACGCAATTGGATACGCATTACCCCTCTTAGTCATTGAAATCTAGCTTAGTCTCTCTCAAGTACTAAGGGATTAGGTTATAGTGATTAACTATACTCCATTGCTTATGTTAATCATTCGTAAGTTTCTTTCAAATACTTAAGAATTAGTGATTAGGTTTTTCTCGAACATCTAGTCTTCATCTAAGAAATTGACACTCACATGCCTCCTACAATCGTAGAAGACGAAGCACACATAAACAAAAGATAAAAATTCATCAACCATTAAAATAAAGTTTCAAGCATCCA